GGGCTTTGCAAGGTGAGTCTGCATTGTATCTTCCTTCAGTGTGGGTTTCTAAGTCCATTTGTAACTTTGAAATCCTGATTATTTTCTAGGCGTATAGTTTAAGGTTGGCTTTCTGAAGGAACTCAGATAGGAAGGTCTTAGAATAAACATCTTGATACTCATTCCATAACCCCCATTTACTTCAAAGAGCCTTTAAATACAGCCAGGGCCAGCCCACAGGGCAGAGTGCCTTCTGCAAGGGGGCTTTCTTCACCTGGTGAGCAGGCTTCTGGGCCTAATGCTCAACCCAGTCTTGGCTTCCCTGCCCCACTTTCCTCCTCCAGAATTCCAGTCACACAGTTAATCAATCTTCAGGGATGCCTTTGTTTCATGTATTGATAAGTCTCTGGTTTGTCTGTGGAGGCTATAAAGCTAGTAGTTAGTACCATTCAAGAGGAGGCAGGTCCAGGAATAGAGAGAGAAAAAAAAAAATGGACCTTAAAAACTGGGGTCTTCAGTATTAACTTTATATCTCTTCAGCAAATAAATAAGTAAAAAAATCAAATAAGAAACCTAGCTACATCAGCTAGACTTTATTCAGAGAAGATGTTCACTTCATAGGCTCTGATGGGTGGAAATAAGTAACGGCCTGACATTTCACTTTAAGTCTTGAAAGGGCACAGAGGTCCACGTTGGCCTTCTCACAGCTCATCTATAGCAGCTTCAAACTCAAAGTAAGAAAAATAGCAAAATCTTGCTGGTTCTAGAAAGACTGTCTTAATAGTTTCCCCCAAATGAAGAAGAGTACAACTAGGGCAGGGAGCTCCCACACACAGAGATGAATTTGTAGAACATGCTCTCTGTGGCGGTATCTTAGTACCAAGTCAATTTTTCTCCCCTTGTTTGTTGCCATTTATTTTGCCCTACCTGACACATCTGGTTGCTAATATTATAGAGCTCTAACCTTGACCTAAGGCATTCTGGTAGCGCAGTGCTTATGAGTCGGGCTGCCAACGTCAAGGTCAGCAGTTCGAAACTACCAACCGCTCCGCGAAAGAAATATGAGGCTTTCTGCTCCCGTAAAGATTTACAGCCTCGGAAACCCTGTGCAGAGTCACTATGAGTCGAAATCGACTCCACGGTACTTAACAACAACAAAGTGACACTGTATGTTAAGTACTGGACTTTTAACTAAAGTCTTCATGGTTCAAACCCACCAACCATTCCTCAGAAATCCTATAAAGAGTTACTATGAGTCAGAACAGCGGCATTTTGGAAATGAGGACTGGAGATTTGCCTCTGAAAGACCGCAGCCATGAAACCCTACGGAGCACAGTTCTACTTTGTACACAGGAGGTAGCCATAAGTCAAAATCAGTCTGACAGTCACTAAACATCATCGCCTCACCCAAACCATTCCATGTCAGTGTGCATCTGACTGCTCAGTTTTTAAATACTCAAGTAACAATACATACCAACACTTTCTCATGTGTCCTCTTATAACCTGCTCACTCTGTATGTCTTGAAAACGACTCTGTATTTTCTAGGTTTTGCAACTTACTGTCTTAGGACTGTACTATTGGGCTGCTACCAAGAACGCTAATATTTGCTGCCATCTAATGGCATATAGGGGGATTGCAGTGTCGTGCGGAGGGAAGAGTTGGGCTGGGTGAAGGAGGAGAGGAGGAGGAAGGGAAGAAGGAAGAAAAGGTGCATCTGTCTGAATCCAAGTATGCACACAATGAGTACCTTAAAGGGCAAGACAATGAATTTATTTGCATACTTTTTGCATACTGATTAAAGTAAAGTATAATCACTTTTACAATTGCTCAGTATGAACAGAAGCTATATCCCTAGTCTCATTGAGTCAGTTCTGACTCATAGTGACACTCCCTAGGGTTTCCAGGACTGTGAATCTTTACAGGAGCGGACCTTCTCATCTCTCTCCAAGAGTGACTAGTGCACTTGAATTGCCAACCTTATGCTTAGCACCTAACACACAGCAAACACCAGGCCTCCTTCAGAAGCTGTATTACCAAGAGCAACAAACCTTTTAAATGCTCTAATCGAAATGATTTCAATTTGGAGAGACAGCAAATACCATCAAGAGGTATACCTTGGTTCTTTCTTTGGGCTCCTCTTGAAACTTTGTCTAACTGAAAACCTAAACCCAAGGAGTAAAATCGTGCCTTAGATTTCCTGAGACTGTCTTTCTGAGGCTATCTGACTGGAGCAGAAAGTTGTTGTTAAGTGCTGTCGAGTTGTTTCCAATTCATAGCAACCCTGTATAGGGTTTCCAAGGAGTGGCTGGTGAGCTTGAACTGCCGACCTTGTGGGTTCAAACCGACTTGCAGTCCAGCGCATTAATCCACAACGCCACATTTTCCCTTGGAGCAGCTGTTGAGTTTGAATCGCTGACCTTGTGTTTAGCAACCCCGCTGTGTGCTTAACCCACTGTACCATTGTTGCTATTAAATGCAGTTGAGTCGGTTCTGACTTATAGCGACCCTATACAGGGTTTCTGAAGAGCATCTGGTGGGTTTGAACTGCCAACCTCATGGTCGCAGTCCGGTGCTGACCCTTCAGCACCATGCCATGGGTCCTTGTTGTTGTTGTTAAGTGCCATTTAGTCGGATCCGACCTGTAGCGACTGTGTATAGGGTTTCCAAGGAATGTCTGGTCAGCTTGAAACTGCAACTTTGCTGTTCAAACAAACTTTGTAGTCCAGCAGCATTGACCCACAGTGCCACACCAGGAGTCCTTGTTGTTGTTGTTATGTGCCGTGAAGTCAGTTCCGACTCATAGCGACCCTCTACAGGGTTTCTGAGGCTGTAAATCTTTACCGGAGCAGAAAGCCTCATCTTTCTCCCGCAGAGCAGCTGGTAGTTTTGAACTGCTGACCTTGAGGTTCACAGCCCGATTTGTAACCACTACGCTACCAGAGCTCCTTCCAGGAGTCCTAGTGGGTGTCAAATGAAGAAATTTGAAGAAGAAAACTGTGACATCTATCAAATCTGTCAACATTTCAAAAAATCACCTGTGTCAGTTTACTCAGGTGCGTTTGGTTCAGAAATAGTTACACGTGATTAAACAATTTGTAGCACAGAACTGCTGCTAGGGTAAATCACAAAACCACAAGCTCACAAAATAGTCTGCAGAAGGGAGCTCCTAAATTTGAGAGCCTCTGATGCCACTGCTTCGACAGGAGCAGGCTACCATTTAACCTTTCATCAAATTTAGCTGACTTTTATAAGCGCCTGAGCATTTCTTCTGTTTTTAACATTACCCAGCTAATTCCCCCAGGACAGGAAGAGAAACAATGCTTTGAGCTCCAAAGAGAGTAGGAAGGGTAAAGACCTCTGAAAACTGAACATTTTAAACATCTGTATGTCTTTTGTCAGGGTGAGCGGCCAACATGAAATCTGTTGTTTTAAATCACAAGGTTTCAATGACAATCTGGTTTTCTGCTGCACCTCTTGTTCCTGCTGGAACTGGATGTTTTATATAAGCTACTTGATGCCCCTACTAGGCAGAGACAATGCCATTCTCACATAGTCTCTTTGGAACAGATGTAAGTGTGTATGAGATGGGTTTGGATGCATTAACTAACTCCTTTATCCATCCAGGCTTGTATGTAGCTGTTAAGTGCCATTGAGTCAGCCCGACTCATGTTATTGCTGTAGTTAAGTGCTATGTGTGTAGGGTTTCAGAGGAGTGGCTGGTGTTCAAACAGACTTTTCAGTCCAGCTTATTAACCCACAGTGTCACAATAGGACTCCTCCCGACTCATAGCAACCCAGTATAGGGTTTCTGAGGAGCAGCTGGTAGGTTTGAACCACCCATTTTTCAGTTAGCAGTATAGTGCTGATCTTACAGTGTCACACCAGGCTTGTATTTATGTAAGCACTGGACTGCTAAGCAAAAGGACGATGTTTCAAACCCACCAGATGCTCCTCAGAAATTCTATGTAGTGTTGCTGAGTTGGAACTGACTTGATGACATTTAACAACAAGATATATATATATATATTCTGTTTCTCCTTCACTTCCCTCTTAAATTTATAGTTTATTTGATAAATATACTTATATTTTCAAACATTTATTGATAGTTGTTTTATATTTTCAACCTATTGCTTATCTATTCTTGTGGGAGAAGATTATTTTGCACCGAAAATCACTTGAAACTACTTCCCTGATACTGTCACTATCTTCATTAAAATTCTTAAAACCTATAATTTGTTGTACAAGGATCAAGTTCCTCAATACTTGAGCATTGCCTACAGTTGCTATTATCCTGTTTTTCATTCCACAAAAACCAAACTACTTACAGTTTTCTAACCTTACCTTATTACATTGTTCCTGTGTTTCTGTTCAGAAATGTAACAATCGCCCCTCCATACCACTATTTATCTACAAAACTGACATTCATGCTAGAAGACTTGTGGGTACCGACCGAGAAAGATGAGGCTTTCTGCTCCCATAATCGGAAACCCTGTACAGGGTCACTATGAGTCAGAACCAACTCCACAGCACATAACAACAACAACAACAACATGTACTGTGGAGTGCTGGTGGTGCTGTAGAATAATCATTGGACTGGTAACCACAAGGTCAGCAGTTCAAATTCACCAGCCACTCCATGGGAGAAAGAGGAAGATTTCTGCTCTCATAACAATTCATAGTCTTAGAAACCTTATATTTGTTATGAGTTGGAGTTGCCTTAACAGCACCTAACAACAACAACAACAAAACCATGCACGACAGAGTTACTTCTTTGCATTGTCTTTACCTGTGTGCACTTATGCTATCACTTTATGAGGACATAATTACTCATCATATTCCTCTCCTCACTATTACTAGATGAGCTCCTGATGTTCTGGATCTGAGAATCCACTCTAGCTAGACCATGGAGCTCAAGAAAGGGGTGGGGAGTTGAACTGAGACTCTCAGAAATTCAGAAAGTCCTTTAGACTGTGTTTCTAGGAGGTCAGGTTTCCCACAGACATAGGAGACCCTGTCTTACCTTCCTTCCAGCTATGTAACCTCCTGCAGCTCCAAAACTTTTGGTGAATGTGCCCATCAACACATCAATCTCTCGAGGGTCCATTCCAAAGAAATCCACGACACCTCGGCCGGTAGGACCCACAGCCCCAATGCTGTGAGCCTCATCTATGTAGAGGTAAGCCTTGTATTTATTCTTCAGAGCCACGATCTGGGGCAGGTGCAATATGGAACCTTCCATGCTATGTCACAAAGAGAGATGCTGGTAACTAACATGAAATCCGTTAAAAGCTCAGCATTAGTCCCCTTTCCACTACATCTCAGACAGCCTGCCCAGTCATCAGTCAATAGTGATAGGAGCATACCATTCTTTTCTTCCTTCATTCCTTCTTTGCTTTCCTTTCATTTTTCCTTCTTTCCCTTCTGCCTCCTTCTTTCCTATTCTTCTGTTTCCCTTCCTTCCCAGTTTATCTCTTTCCCTCTCCCAATCTCTTACTTTTTTCTTCTTTCCTTTCTTGTTGAAAAATATACTCAACATGAAACTTTCCATTTTCACCCTTTTCAAGTTACAATTCAGTGGTATCATTCACAGTCACAATGTTGTGTAACAATCACCCCTATCTGTTTCTAGAAACTTAGACAATAGCTCCTTAAACAATAGACCCCCGTTCTCCATTTCCATCATCCCCTGGTAACCACTAACAAACTTGGTCCCTATACATTTGCCTATTATAAATATTTCATGTGGTGGTGGTTGTGGTTATGTGCTTTGGAGTCAGTTCTGACTCATAGCGACCCTGTACAGGGTTTCCGAGGCTGTAAGTCTTTACGGGAGCAGAAAGCCTCATCTTTCTCCTGCAGAACAGCTGGTAATTTCAAACTGCTGACCTTGTGGTTCACAGCCTGATTCATAACCACTATGCTTTCTGAGCTCCTAAATATTTCATATTTTGGGACAATAATTGTCCTCTAAAGACTGACTTATTTTACTCAACATAATGTTTTCAAGGTTCACCCATGTAGTAGCATGTAATACTATTTTATTCCACTTTATTGCTGAATAATATTCCATGGCATGAATGTATCACATTTTGTTTGTCTCGTCAACACTTGAGCCTTGTCTGTTGAATGCTTGATTTGCTTTCTTTCATCTTTGGCTATTAATAATGCAACAATTAATATTGGTATAAACATAACTGTTTAAGTTCTTTTTTTTTTTCAATTATTTTAGCAATAAACCCAGAAATAAAATTACTAGATCATATCATTATTCCATATTTCACTTTTTGAAGAACCACCAAATTGTTTTCCACAGCAGCGGCACCATTTTACATTCCCAACAGCAATGGATGAGGGTTCCAATTTCTCTACATTCTTACCAACAGTCGTTATTTACCCTCTTCTGATGATAGCTATCCTGTTGAGTGTGAAGTTGCCAATGATTTTATTGTACTCGGATCCACAATCTATACTCATGGAGGCAGCAGTTAGGAAATCAAATGATGTATTTGGCAGATATGCACAAGACCTCTTTAAAGTGCTAAAGAGCAAAGATGTCACTTTGGTGCACCTGACCCAAGCCATGTTTTTTTTCAATTGTCTCATATACATGTAAAAGCTAGATAATGAATAAGGAAAACCAGAGAAGAGTGAATGCCTTAGAATTATGGTGCTGGCAAAGAATAGTGAGTATATCACTGACTACTATTAGAAGGAACAAATCACTCTTAGAAGAAATACAGTCAGAATGCTTTCTAGAAGGAAGGCCAGTGAGACTTCTCATAAAATAATTTTGAGCATATTATCAGGAGAAGCCAGTCCTTGAAAAAGGACATCATGCTTGGTAAAGTAGAGGGTCAGCCAAGAAGTGGAAGACCATCAATGGGACAGGTTGACACAGTGGCTGGCACAATGGGCAAACAAAGTAAGATTGTGAGACCAGTGCAGGACTGGGCAGGCTTTTATTCTACTATACATAGGGTTGTTATGAGTTAGAATCCACTGTACCTAATAACAACAGTTGGTGTGAGGTGGTATAATATGGTTCTTTTTTTTTTTTTCCCCCTAATGGTTAATAAAGGAGTCCTGGTGGCAATCAGCTGCTAACCAAAGGTAGGCAGTTCAAACCCACCAGCTAGCTGCTTCATGGGAGAAGGAAGCAGCTGTCTGCTTCTATAAAAATTGCACCTCAAAAACCCTGTGGTGAAATTCTAGGGTTAAGGAGCTCTCGTAGCGTACTGGTTATGAATTGAGCTGCTAATCTCATGATTAGCAGTTCAAAACTACCAGCTGTTCCACAGGAGAAAGGTGAGGCTTTCTGCTCCCATAAAGATTTACAGCCTCGGAAATCCTGTAGAGTCACTATGAGTCAGAACCGACTTCACAGCACATAACAACAACAACAACAACAACTGCTAGTGTTGTCATGATTGGAACGGACTTAACACAATGGGTTAGGTTGTTTTTAATGATTAACACCGTTTAGCACCTTTTTATGTACTCTTGTAATTTCTTTCTTTTTGTTGCTGTTGTTGTTAAGTGCGTTGCGTTGGTTTTGACCCATAGAGACCCTGTATAGGGTTTCTGAGGAGCAGCTCATGAACTTGAACCACCGACCTACTCAGGCATTTCTATGCTACTTGGGGGGAAAAAAACACCCAAAAAACCCTTTCGATGGATCTAAGTGCTTTGTGTTACTATATGTAATTCTCATGTAAATAACTAGTTCACTGTTTTGTTGATCCAATTTGATCTCAGAAGACCTATTTGTACAACTAGACATATCATTTATATCATAGGTATTTTGGTAGTTTTAATTGTCTGTGGGTATAGCCACTTGACCAGCAGTTCTGTCTGACCTAAACTCTGCTTGAATTACCAAAGATTAAAAGAGGAAATTAAAAATACACAGAGAGACTGTTTAAGACTTGTGATGTTGTTAAATGCTGTGGAATCTGTTCTAACTCAGTGACCAACGGAAGAAAACATTACTTAGTCCTGTGCCTTCTTCATAATTATTGTTATGTTTGGTCCTGTGTACCACTGTGTCAATCTCTCTTATTCGGGGGGGGGGGGGTCTTTCTCTTTTTTTGCTGACCCTCCACTTGACCAATCAAATGTCCTTCTCCAGAGACTTGTGATTGCTGTTGTTAAGTGCTGTCGAGTTGGTTCCTACTCATAGCAACCCTGTATAGGGTTTCCAAGGAATGGCTGATGAACTTGAACCACTGACCATGCCGTTCAAACTGACTTTGCAGTCCAGTGCATTAACCCACAGCGCCACACCAGGACTTAATAGTATAAAACAATAGAAAGTCCTTAGGCTCCCTTGTTGAGTGCTTACTTGAAGAAGAATATTTATTTGAGGTCCCTTGGTAGTCTTGATGGTCCTTTAGGCCAGTGGTTCTCAACCTTGAGAGACCATCAGAACTTCCTCCCTATCAGTTGCTGTCAGGTTGATTTTGATGGTAATCCCACATGCGTCTGAATAGAATTGTACTCTATATGGTTTTCAGTGATTTTTTTTTGAAGTAGGTCTTTCTTTCCAGGCACCTCTGGATCAACTGGAACAACCAATCACGGGGAACAGTGAAGGCTGTTAATCATTTTATACTGCTGTGAAGGGCCTGTTAATCCTTGTTAATAACTGAATTATTTTCTAATTTGAATTATTTTTTATACCATGTACTTTCATTACTTGAAAGCAAACTGAAATCAAGGAAACATTTTTTTGAGGTAATATGGATTTTGATGGCAGCATGGTGGCTCAGTATGACAAATAAGCACTGGACTGTGGTCCACAGTTCAGCGGTTTGAAACCCACCAGCAGTTCTGTGGGGGAAAAGATGAGATTTTCTGCTCCTGTAAAGATATACACCTTCATAAACCCCATATAGGGTCGTTATGAATCAGAATCAACTTGACAGTATTTAACAACAACAACAATGAATTTTGATATAACTATGTGAAACACTTATGTCACAACTAGATTCTGGTGGTAGGATTTGTGGGATGAGGGTGGTTTCTTCAGATTCATGCAGTGATACAAATCCCCATCATGTATTACAAAAGGAATAGCAGTTTCTCAAGACACCTGAGACACTGAAAATGGTAGTGGACAACACATTCCCCATACATCACTAAAAGAGATAAAAATACAGATTGCTGGCTTCTCTCCTCAGCAATCCATGTTTTAACTCTTTCATTAAAAGTTTCTGATCAGTGGGTCTTGGATGGGCTGATAATTTGCAATTCTAAAAGGCTCCCAGGAAAAGGTGCTATTGCTACTGGTTGGGCATTATACTTTGAGAACACTTTCACTAGAGGAACCCTTTTCTTTCATATTTAAGTGCTTTATTTTTAATGTCATTGTAAATTGCAAAATCATGCCAAGTCCTTTGGCAAAGGGAAACAGATGAAATCAAATAATAAGTGAAACTAAAGTTTCTATTTACATAGTATTCTAGAACTCAGTAGATTTAAACAACTTTAACAGGTTCCCAGGATACCCTGTATCTTGTGTTTATATTATCCACAATATTGACTACACTGGCAGTGAGTTCTGTGAAAATGCACTAAGTCACACAGTCAGACACACAAAAGGACTTAATCAACCAATTCAAGCAACCTGTCAATGTAATTCCAACACTAATCAACTGAATTAAATGCTAAGTTGAACTTCTCCTCTCCCCTCTTTCTTATTGATTTACTTATTAAATTAAACTTAATATGGTTTTGTTGTTGTTGTTGTTGTTTTTATAAAAGTCTAAATATAATGTCAATTGAGTCAAAATAGCTCAGCAGTTAGTCAAATCGATGGTGCCAGTTTAGAAGTGTGCTGATTGCTAAGTGGAGCATTTGTGCTCATCACAAGTTCATTTTATAAATTGAGTTCAGATTATAATGGAATAAAGACAAAATACAGTTTTCTTTTTTAATATAAATTTGTGGATTAATTCCAATATTTTCTTAGATTAATTAATGAAAGAAGGGTAGGCAGTATGGCCATCTGACAGCCTAAACTCAGATTGAAGCTAACTCACTAACTGCGAACATAAGCAACTTACATGGTGCTCTTGCCTCAGTTTCCTCATATGTAAAATAAGGGTGATGACAGGACACACTCCATAAGCTTGTTGTAACCATGACTAAACATGTTGTTGTTAAGTGCCACCTAGTTAGTTCCGACTCATAGCTACTCTGTATAGGGTCTCTGAGGCTATAAATCTTTGCAGATGCAGAA